ACCATGGTAATTGCTTGGCAAGTATCCCCCCAAGGCTATGACTACAATACACCTGCACCCTCAGAGGGGAAGCACCCAGCAGTCAGCCCTTTCCAGAACATTCCGGCTTCTGTTCATTCCCTCACCCGGGGACCTCCATGTGGTCCTAAGCCTAACTTTGACTTTGCCTTCTCCAGCTGACCTCTCCTGACCCCAGGCTTCTGGCCCTGTGGATCGGCTGTGCAGGGTCTCACCCTGCAGGCCCGTGTGGGCGGGAGCCGTGGAAGGTGTAGCCGACCCACACCTATCCGTGGTGACTCCTGAGCCATCCCCTCTGGCCACGTGAGCTGCTCCAGTCACACACAGAGAGTTGGGCCTTGGTCATGGGGAAGGGGGGTTGTGATTTTGTGCTTATAACAAAAGTAAGAATTTGGTCATATGACCAAATACATGCTTCTTACATATAGTTGATCTTCAGCCAGAGATCCTAGCTCACATCTCCCAAAACCTTGGAATTTTCTAGAGTTGAGAGTGACAAGGGCTTCGCTTATTATGTTAATGAAGGTAACTTTTGAAAAACACGTGAGGTTGGGGGCTGGTTGCCTGGTTGCCGGGGAAACCGGCAGACAGAGAGGGTGGAACTGGCAGCCTCAGCTCCAGTCCTCTGGGGAGGTGGGGGAGCTGGAGGTTCAATTGCCAGTGCCCACTGAGTTCATCAACCAGGGCTATGTCGGGAGCTTCCATAGAAGCCAAGGAGAGGCCTCCCTGGTGGAGCAAAGGGTTAAGGCTCAGCACTATCAAGATCACCAGTCGCTGAGGCCTGAGTTCGATCCCCGGCCAGGGAGGTGACCCACATGGTGCAACAGATCTCTCCTGTCCTGCCCGCTGCTCCCCTCAGCAGTGTCTCTGCCTGTTCTGCTCCTCACTCTGTCTCTGGTGAATCCTCTCATCTGCCTACTGTTCCCAGTTCTTATAAACAAAAAACGTCCAAAAGGAGGGGTTCATCATAGAGGTACCTGTCATAACTGGAGATTTGGGGGGACTAGTGAATCTGGACAGGGCATGGAAGCTCTTACCTTTCCCCACACCTTGCCCTAAGCATCTCTCTATCTGGCTGTTCCTGGTGTAATAAACTTTGTAAATTTTTTTTTTTTGTAATGAATACGCTTTGTAACTAATGAGAGATGGAGTAACCTCATTACCTGAGTTCTGAGTCTTTCTAGCAAATCAGTTGAACCTGAGGAAAATGTCCTGAGAACCTCTGATCTGCAGCAGAAGCACAGGCTGGAATCCAGGCTTGGACACGTACCTGAAGTCTGAGGTGGGGGGTGGGGACCTCCCATATGTAACCCAGGGGGCAGAAGCTCTGAACATCTGGGCTGCCTGAACATCTGAAGGGAGACGGTGGTTTTGCAAGACTGAGCCCTTCCTCTGTGGACTCTTGTCTACCAAGGCTACAGTATAACCTTGAAAGCGTTTATCTGAGCATAGGGCTCATGGTCCCAGTGCACCATCCAGGGGCAGTCCTGTGTGTCCATCACACATAGACATAGGGGAATTTAATTTTATTTTTCCTGTCATTATCCCATACATTTTAGCCCTTCCCCCTTTTACTTCTAGAAACCTCCCTTTGCTTTTATGTGTGTCCCCTAATTTATAATTATTTTGTCAGGTCATTCACTATGATCTTGTGTTTTACTTACACCTATGTGAAAATAGCCAATATCTGTCTTCTTCATCTTTCGACTCACTTTACTACACATAATTCCCTCAAGCTGATGCTGGGCAAAATGGAGGAATTCCTGGGGATCCCAAACTGTAAGGAGAAAGACAGTTTTGCCTGTTCTAAGGGCCCAGCCATCAAAGTACACAAAGGCATCTTTGTGTTCAAAGATCTTTAATCAATGAGGGGCTCAAGGTGAATAGAGAGGAGTAGGGGGAGACCCCATTAAAGCTGGAATCACCCATCCCCTCATGCGCAAAAGCCCAGCCAAGCTAGCAGGACCCAAGCAAGAGATCAGTTGTGATGGTGTTTGCCTGTACACATGAGGAGACTTTCTGTCTTCTTTGGGGGGGGGGGGGATGGCAGGTTTGTTCTTGGTCTCTCTCAGGAGAGTAGATTTCTCCCTAAAGGGGGGATTAATGGCAGGGTCATTTCCCAGAAGGCTTTCATCAGAACCTCTGAGAGAAACTGTAAAAAGACCTCCTTCTACATTTGTTGAATCCCATATGTCTTCAGCTAAGAATCATCTTCACACAGTGTTGAAGCAGAGACTGAAAGCTAAGGAGTAAGATGCCAGGCAGAGATACCCCAAGCAGAGGCCCCAGGCTGCTGAGGTACTGACCAACCAGGTGGAAAGTTGTGGAATGTAAACTTAAAGGTGTGTTCCACTCCTAAAACTCTGGATTTTCTTGAAACAAAAAAGCCCATGACAATAATGATCGAAATCCAGAATGTCTGTTAGATCTTCCGCCTGTCATCTGTGCGGTCTCAGGAAGGTCATTCAATGTCACCAAGCCTCCATTTTTCCTCTTTTAAAGTTTGGCTGTGGCTCATCTGAGGAGGCAGCGGAGGCGCCTACTAGGGTTAGGAGGCCTAAGAAGCCTTTAGCTTCATTGCATCTCTGGGGATCAATTCAGTGTCCCAGGATGATAGAAATGGGGCGGGGGGTGGGGGTGGGAGGAAGAGGAAGCCAGGAGGGGGAAACGAATGGGGTGGGGGTGGGGATGCAGTGACCATGGAGTGAGTGAGTGAGTGGTCCGGTTCCAGCACCAGAAGTTTCAGCAGTGCAGTCTCTCCCCAGAAGGGTGTGCCATCCAGATCAGCAACGCCCAAGGGGCCTGCCTTTGAACCTGCAAAGGATGATTAGCAGGCTGCCGAGCAGAAGGGTTCTAGGGCCACGGTGATGGTGGTGGGAGCATCCTGAATGCAGGCACAGAGCAAAATACTCCACACGAAATTTCTAATCCGGGAAGACTGACCGTGGTTGTGTGGCGCCCTCTGCTGGGGAATATCTGAAGGGCATGCACCCCCCCCCCCCCCCACTCTGCAGTCCAAGGAGGTACGAAGATTCAGGCAGCCTTCAAGCCCAAGCCTGGCCTCCCAGATTCCTATTTCATGCACAGCAGTCTCGTTGTTCCGCCTTCTTAATATTCTCTATATTGTTGACAGTCAACAAACTCTTCCTCTTGGAAAACTACCATCCCCAAGAGCCAAGCGTCCCAGCCACTGCTTTCTCTTAGCTACGTTTTACCAGTTTCTTGGCGTTCCCAGAGAAAGTATATGGGAACTGGCAGGGAATAGAAAGGAGGGGCCTGAGGAAAGACGGATGATTATGAAGAGTCACATTAATTACTTTTGTCTTGGTGACATGTGGAAGTAAGGTAGTTACTGTTTTTGTAATTTGACACCTCACAGTGTCTCCAGTCTCCACCCCCCACCCCCCACCCCTAGCAGCCACCTCAGGGCCTTTGCACTGGCTTTCCCTCTACTGGAAAGTTCTCCCCCACACCTCTGCATAGTGCACAGAGTTCATCCTAAAGTTAGAATCTTCCCACAACCACCACTGCACAATCTCTACCCTTTTTCCCTGTTTTATTTTTTCCCAAAACAGTTATCATCCTGTGGATTCTATACATTTTACGATTGTTTATTGTAAAATCCACTAGAGAAATTTTTATTTTTTTCATAGAAGAACTTGTGTTGCAGGCCAGAGGTGGGGGTAGAATGAGAAGACAGTCTAAACAAAGCCTAGGCAAATTACAAAAACAACAACTACCTTACTTCCACATGTTACCAAGACAAAAGTAATTAATGTGATTCAGCAACACTTGGCTCTTGGGGTTGGTAGTTTTCCAAGAGGAAGAGCTTGTCGACTGTCAACAATACACAGAATATGAAGAGGGTGAAATAACGTGATTGCTGTGCATGAAATACGAATCTGGGAGGCCAGGCTTGGACTGTTGAAGATGCACTTAAGGCAACATACACGCCATAAATATGTCACAATGAAATGTTACTTCAATAAAATCTAAGATTAACAAAAGGGACGCCTTACGTAGTATGTGCCCTTCAGAATCTAAATCTTGTGTTTTGATTATCAGGGTGTTTCTTTGAATGTGACACCACGGAGGAACACATTTCCTCGGACTACACAGACGCCTGGACTGTTCCACAGCTCTCTGGCTTCGTTTTCCCTGGGCACTGAGGGGGAGGCCGCTTGCCTCCAGGCTACCACGGTAGTTATTTCATGTACCACAGTCGGTGGAGGTGAACAGTGTAAACACTTTTTATTACTGGAGGCTAGTGATGGTGAAAGGAAGCAGTGACTTCCTGTATTTGGTACCTGTTCTGTGTTAGTAAAATATTTTTAGTGTTTCCATTATAATGCCCGAGTTAATCTGGGGCAAAAACAAACAAACCCACCCTTCTCTTGTCTTCAGCAGATGCAGCGTTTTTGACACTCTATTAGCTTCCCGAGGCCAAAGGGATGGCTTGCCTGTCGCTTTTCTAACGTTCTGGTGAGTAAAATAAATGACGAACTTTACCAACTAGGTGTAGATCAGGAACTTTATGACGTCATGGCGCATCGGCACAAGTCACAAAGCAGCAGAAAGAAAAACAGCAGCTTTAGGTGACTCACTAGACAACGAAATCGTCTCAGATGAACAACTGCACCCCAGATAATAACTTAAATGTCGATGCCAAACTCTATGTCAGTTTCCCGTTGCCCAATGGCTGAAGCAATCAGGCGAGCTCTTCCCAGTGGTGGTTTTTGCGTATTTCAATTATTCTACATTTTTACAGTTGTCTTAATCCTCTAAAAATATATAGTTGACTCACGTTGCTACAATAGCCTAATCACTGAAATGATAGGTTTTGCCCTAGTAAAACGTCCATAAACGTTCACAGTTAGGCCAACAAAGTCTCGTCGCCAGCCGAACGCCCGCTAGCCCCCACGGCGCGCGACTCCGGCCGCGCGAGATTTGGTTTCTCTCAGCTTCCGTCGCGTCTCTGACAACTTCCGCCTCTGAGCTGCGAATGCACTTCCGGCAGCGGCGGCTTTAGCGGCCGAAGCAAGATGGTGAGTGACTAAGGGTTTCGGCTGGGGGTCGCGGGGCGACCGGGTTGGAGCGACCCGGAGCGAGGGGACGAGGCGGCAGCCTGAGGCGCTGCGTCG